ATCACCCCTGGAAAGGCTGGCAAAGTGGAACTTCAGGGCTACCAAGCCAAGGATCTGACCCTGGTTCCCACCCAGCAGCTGGCTTCTTTCTCTACTTGCTGAATGAGTAAAAGGAGTTTAACTGTCATAGTGAGGCCTAATAAGAATTCACAGCATCTCTAATCTGCCATGATTATAAATTGCATTTTTAATCACGGCACCATTTTGTCTCAATTTTCTTTATACATACATATTTGGGTGATCTAAAGTCTGTTTCTTTCATACACATTTCCATATTTTTCCTTATGTGTCCTATATGATAAATTTATATCCAGATGCAAGTCATTCATATTTTAAAATAAAAATATCTATAAAAGAGGAAGAATATTGAATACTGGGCATCCATTCTGTAAACATGGTATTGCTACTTCACAATGACAATTCTAACCCCCACTTTAGTTCTGAGCTGGAATTAATACTCTTAAGTAGAGATAGTTGCTTTAAAATGTCCTGCAAAGAGAGGAGAGGCAAGCTTCCCATCCCGGATGCTTCTTATCTGGTGCATTCCCAGTGAGGATAAAAAAGGGTTTTTATGAGCCAGGCTCCATAAGCACACAGGGTAGGAAACAGAGCATTGGGATCACATGAAAGCAGAAGAAGAATGTTGGTCTCAGGAAGGCTTGAATGGGACTAGAGCACAAGAGCCAAGGCTCTGCTCCTATAAAAGAGATCATAAAACCCCTAAGTGAGAACTCCAACTTTCCAAAAATAAGAAACAGGGTTTTTCAAAATGAAACATGCTAAAAGCGCCAGAATCTTCTCTTCACTCAAATTGTTCAGAGTGTATGATCTCATGTCTTTACATATCCAGCCCTCAGTACAGTCATAAGGAAGATAAATCTGAATATTATGGTTTTTTTTGCTGCTATTAGCCTTTGAGAACATGAATTGATTATTAATAATGTCACGGAGAATGAATAGTATAGAAGGACAGTGATAATGGGAGAATATAAAATACAAGAGAAAAAATAATCTTTTCTCTACAACCCATGAACTGTTTTTTTACTGTCTACTCCATGGACAAATTCATTGGGTAACAGGATGTTGGAAATAAAAATGCAAAGAAGTTATCTTTTTACCATGGTGTAAGGTCCAGGAGGGCAGGAATTTTTTTTTATTGCATTTTAGGTTTTGGGGTACATGTGCAGAACATGCAGTTAGAATGGCGATCATTAAAAAATCTGGAGACAACAGATGCTGGAGAGGATGTGGAGAAAAAGGAACACTTGTACACTGTTGGTGGGAGTGTAAATTAGTTCAACCATTGTGGAAGGCAGTGTGGCGATTCCTCAAGGGCAGGAATTTTTATCTTGTCTCATAAACTGCTGTGTCTCCAGCACTTAGTATTGTGCCTGGAATATGATAGAGATTCAATACATCCATTGAATAAATTTTTGAATATTATATCATGGAAGAAAAGATGACATCAAGATGAAAATATGAACTCTCTATCTATGCTTGATTTCTGGTTCAAGTCCCAAATGTAGGCCTGGTTTGCTTGATGACTTAGAGAAAATTTCATATTTTCTGTAGGGTATTTGACAGTTCTACTTATGTACTTTCCTCCACCTTGGGCATAAAGAATCTCTCTCTTTCTCTCTCTGTCTCTCTCTCTCTCTTCCCTACCAGGGTTCCCATACTGCTGTTAAAATCTAGTTCACTGATAACTGCCTCATGGAGACTTTTCATGATTAATCAGATTGGAATTATTATTCTGCCTTACTCTGTGCTTTTGTTGCAGGTAATAATTGGCATGATGGCAACATTATAAAAACTTTATCTAAATTGACTTAGACTTTCCTCCTGTTCTTTCCCTTGTCATTTCTTCTTCTTATATCGCACTCTCCATTTCTTTCCTTACTGGACTCTTCCACAGGGTTCAAGATTCATTACTGACAATCTCCAACCCCTGCAACCTCCCACCACTGTTAACATATCTGTTATATGAAAATTTCTCAATATCTAAGGCAGTAAATGACGTATTCTCATTCTACAGAACTCAAGAGGTAGTTGACACCAGTAGACAGAATACTGATCTGATAATCCTGTGATCTTGTTTCTCGAAGGAGATCTGTCACTAGCCAGTTTTGTAAACTTGGTCTACTCAATCTGCCTGTGCTGCTCTTTTCTCAGGTGTAAGATTGAGAGTTTGTCTAGAACAGGGCTTCTGTAAGTATGTATGTACATTCTGTAACACTGGTCCTGAATATTTCATTCAAAAATATGTTCTGAGATTATATTCATTTCAGAATTGCTATATATCACCTCCGTGAATATTGGAGTTAAAGGCTCTGACAAGCCCTGAAATTAATAAACTGTTTTTCTTTACCTAATAATTATTATTTTTTTAAGGCAGAGGTAGCATATTGGTAGTTCCTTAGAGAACCTTATGAGGAAATCATTAGTTGAGTTTTCTGGGAAGCTTCGCTGCCATTGCAAATCTCTGTAGCTCCAATGCCAGCTACTGTAGGTAGAGGTGAATAAGGTAAGATTTCTGCTTTTCAGGCATATAGGATCAAATGTGGGAGAGAGACAAATAACTGTGACATAGTGGCAATTGTAGATTAAAGGTCTGTTCAAATAATAATGGACTTGAAGACTGAAAAGCTAGTAAATCTGCCCAGAGTCGGGGCAGAAGATGAGGAAGGGAAGGCTCCACAGGGGTGTCACAATAGAGAAGGAGGGAAAGGACGTTCCAGGCGGAAGGAGCAAGGCATGAAATCTGAAGATGTGTTCTAAACCTGGGAAATAATTCTGCAATTATGGAACCTAGAAGTGGAGGCTGCCTAGGAAGAAAGGGGAGGGTGAAAGTTCTGGGAAGTGGATGGAGGACTTGTTTGCCATGTGCTGTAAGTGCTACTTTAAGGAATCTGAAATTTATCCTATAGGTAAAAGGAAAATATCCTTAGATTTGTTTTTCATCAGAGGAATTGCATAGTCAATAAGCGTTTCTCAAAAAGAGTTTTAAAGTGCTAAGGCAGACAGGAGTTGGGAGAGACTGTCAGGGAAATTAACTATGCTTTATTGACATAGTTCAAGTAAGAAATGATAAAGGGCTGGATAATGACAGTGAAAAAGGATGAGACGGAAGAAATAGTTTTGACAGAAATTTAGGAGCTATACAGACCATTAAGAGTGATTGGATAGAAAGAAAGAAGAATACAAAATACAAATTCGGCTTGGGAGAGTGTTAGGTGATTATAACATTAATAGGAATAGGAATTTCCAGAAGTGAACTGTTTCATACAGGTTTTGAATTGGACTGGGGGTTCTATTACACAGAGTCATTCTCCTGTAAACACACACCCATTGATTTTTGTGTTACGGAGTTCAAGAGTGATTTAGTTAAAGACTATACAGGATTCCTTTTAAGGACGTTCAGCATCCACCAAAAGATCTATTTCAAACTAAAATTTGGTGGTATTCAATACATTCTTTTCAACAAAGCAGCATTTAAATCTGTAATTTTTAAAAACATTTTAGCCTCTAAATGATAATCATTTCTGGGACTATAAATTTATTTTGGTTTTCATTCAATGTGAAATTCTTTCTTCTTTCAGCCATAGATTATTCTTTATACAATCATATCTCAATAGAATTTTGTGAAACTATTTCCATGTTCTAGTAGGAAACAAAATAGAATACAAACAATTTTAGTGTTGATTTATATATTAAGTCATTGTTTTTGGAATTAATCCTAAATCTGGCCTTTGTCTTTAACAGTAAATATTATTGTTGATAATGCATTAAAATATATTGTATTTGTACTCAGAGAGTGGGATTCTTTCAAAAGCATTGTATGCCAGTGAAAATTAGAAATAATATTTTTCCTTTGTAAGGAGTTCATGCTTCCTTATTGTGTGAAACTTAGCAAAGATTTTAAGGAATAATTTTCTCAACCATTTAAAGTAGAGGGTTTTTTTATTTAGGGGGAGAAGAACTCCGTTTGAGAGGCAGGATGTGGAAACTAACACGACCCAGGCTGTTTACACAAAGCAGTCCACACCTCCCTGATTATGTCGGATAATTTTTCCTTTACCTGAGACAGCTGCCTTCTATTAGCCCTAGAAACAAATAGTAAAATCTATGGTCACTGATCCATGACCACCTTCCCATTTTGAATTTTTTTTGTCCAAGAGAACCTGGAATCCAGAAACTGAGTTGATGGAGAGGAGCTGTTGCTGGACATAATATCAGAGGAAAGAAAGTACAGCGTCCACCTTAAAAACAAACCAAGCTATCGAAACGACCACGCGTTATAAAATGAACATCAGACAATGCCAGTTTATGATTTATTTCCTTTTACATCATAAAGAAATAAAGATAAAAAGGAAATGGTCTTATCATGATAGTTGAGGCTGCCTCTCCCTCTACAATTTCTGAAACCGTGGTGCATTTAAGGCAGCTCTGAAATTGTTTTGAAATAAATTTAGATGTTTTGGAGGGCAGATACATGTAATGGTTGTTTTACTATTCTGGTTACTATTCTGGAAAAATGGTTGCTATGTCTAAACCTTGATATTTTGCAGATTCCTAAATACATGTTACTGCATTTGGAATAAATGTTGTAGTATTGAGAAAATGCAATGCAAAAATGAGTAGAGATACGATGTCCACTTAACTCAGAACAAAACAGCCTTATTTCTCCACAGTCGAAATAGAGGGCAGGGAAGTCAGGCAGTGGTTTCTGAAAGCCAGCAACCTACTAGCACTGTGCCATTCTCTCGCCTGATCCAGTGCCACTTCCTTCACTTGATATCTGTTTACTTTAGAGGAGGCAGTTTTTGAGAAAGGATCATAAATATCCTGGCCCAGTGCCCCAGGAGCCATGACAAGCAAAGGAACATACTCGCCTGGAGATAGCCTTTGCAGTATTTAAATGTGTGGGTTAATTTTTTATCCACTTTAATAACTGTTTTATTCCTCCTTCTACTTCTTTGCTTTCTCTTTCTGCTCTGAAGCTGTGGGCACAGAAATCTCTGCAGGCAAGTTGCTCCAGAGCATATTGCAGGACAAACCTGTAACGAATAGTTAAATTCACGGCATCTGGAGTCCTAATCCTTTTCCGACATGGCAGGTGTGAGTGGCTGTATAAAATATTCTATGTTTATCTTCAACTTCGTGTTCTGGGTAAGTGTTTTCCTTTTAATTATCAATTTTATGCAAGAAAGAGGATCTTGATATAAATATTGTAAACAAGAACAAACTGTACACTAGAGAAATAAGAGAAGGGGAAAATGTATTTTCCATGTACTTGTTTGGATTTGTTTGTTCTTTCTTTGGTTATTTCAGTAATTGAAAATGAGCCAATGACTTAAAAAAGTGCACTTCAGAATCTGTGAGGATAAACATTTCATAAATGTTTTGATATTGCAGCAAAAACAATCACAAAGGGAAAAAATACCCCTTAATTAAAGTACAATTATCCTTAGTTGTGTATCAAGCAGGCCTCCCTAACTTAAGGACTCTAGTAAAAACATGGTCTGATTCCATCCGGAGCCCGACTGATGGGAGGGATCCCTTCATCTCTGGGTTTGAACAGGTGAATTGCAAGGTGTGGGACAATAAAGATCATTTTCAGAGCCTCAAAGAAAAAACAAATGGGTCATGAAAAACTTGAAGAGGAAATGATAAAATTCCTAAATCATAAGAAGATCAAACCAAGACAGTGGATATATATGAATATATTGGCATTTTAAAGTTAGTATTTTGATGTGTCAACACCTCACCTTTTAATTGACAGGGCTTATATTTTACCAATTTGTTATGTTTCTCTTGAAAGTCCATTGACATAGACGTAACCAACACATTAATAAGTGGCATCTATCAATGGAAAATGGAAAAACAAGGTGTAAAAAGAGCAGGTTGGGATGTTGGAAAATTGGCCTTATCATTTTTAGCATAGATGGTACAATTAAAGATTGTTTAAACATCAGTCAGTGGAAATAGCCTAGAGTATTTAAGTGAAAAATATATTTTGTAATATTGAATTAAAAGCTAGCTTATCCACTCCAAGGATGAAAGAACTTTGGTTTTGTTTTTGTACCTGGTTGTCTCTAGTAAACAGATATCTCATATCTGTGTGTTGCTTTATTTCTGTTATATTAAAATAATGATGAACTTAATTAAACTTAACTACATGAATATAGCTTTGTTGTATAGATTGACTTTTCATTCAATAATCAGTAGTGCTAATGAGTACAGATAGATATATTGGTGAATTTTAAATAAGCAAGTAAATATTTTAAAAAGTAAAATAAAGGTTTGTACTTTGTACTTTCCTTTTAATGGGCTGCTTTTGCAAATATTAAATGTAGCTCATGCTACATATATGCCAGTTTTTTAGTTATTTCTGATACATTTCTTCCCTTGAGATATTTAAATTGATTAAACATTGGGAGTAGGATATATAAAAAAAGAAAGGCCTGTATTCTTTGGTTTGGTTTTGTTTCTAGCTTTTTTTTTTCTTATGAAGAACTTAATATTCACAAAAGAAGACAGAATAGGTAATCAACTCCCTTGGGCAGCCCCAGTGGCCACAGAAAGATGGCCAGACTTTCTCCATTTATACTCTATTCACTTCCCCACCCCATATTATTTTGAAGCACATCTCAGACATATAATTTTGTCTGTAAGTATTTTAGTATATATCTCTGAAAGGTAATAAATTTTTATAAAATGTAATCACAGCCAGGCGCAATAGCTCATGCCTGTAATCCCAGCACTTTGAAAGGCCGAGGAGGGTGGATCATGAGGTCAAGAGTTTGAGACCAGCCTGGCCAACATGGTGAAACCCTGCCTCTACTGAAAATACAAAAAATTAGCTGGGCATGGTGGCACACGCCTGTAGTCCCAGCTACTCAGGAGGTTGAGCCAGGAGAATTTCTTGAACCCAGCAGTCATAGGTTGCAGTAAACCAAAATTGCGCCACTGTACTGCAGCCTGGGTGACACAGCAAGACTCCATCTCAAAACGAAATAAAGAAACAAACAAAATGTAACCACAATGTCATTATTACACTTTAAAAACTTAGTAAGAATTTTTAAATTAATTGTCAAATATTATCTAGGGTTCAAATTTCCAGTTACTTCATAAATGTTCCTTTTAGAATCAGGATCTAAATAAGGTCCACAATTTGTGATTGGTTAATGTATGTTTCATGTCAATTTTAATCTGTTGATTCTCCCTCAATCAACATCTCTTTTTCTTCCTACTGAAATGTTATGCACTGGTGTGTGTTTGTTTTATCACATTGCCCACATTCTGGATATTGCTATTTGCATACTTGTGGTGCAGCCAGATAAAATGGTTCTTTTTTTAGGCATACAGCAATCAAAAGTGATTTTTTATTCTTTCATCAGGAGGCACTGGATGTCTGATTGTGTCCCTGTTTTGTGATGTTCATAGCCATTGGTGGTCAAGTGCCAAAATCCATCATTAGTTCATTAAGAGGTTCAAAATGATGATATTCTAGTTTCATCAACTTTTCTTTATTTATTAGCTGGAACACTTTCTGTAAGGAGAAATTTCTCATGTGCTGTTTCATTTCCTGGGTATCCCCTTTTTAATTTTTTTAAAGTGGCATAAAATACTTCTTTCTTACTCTTTCCTTAGCATATTGCAAGTGATGAGTTAAGTTACTAGTGTTTTCCAACAGTGATAAACTAATATTTCTTTAAGTATCCTTATAAAATGATAGATTAACTCCATTACAATGTTTACCCTTATTAATGTGCAATTTGTTCCATCTCTGGCCAGCGGGAGCTTCTTCAAGATGACTCAGGTTCTTTTGAAATGATCATAACTTGATTACCTTTATAGTATTTGGTTTGACATGTTCCAGATCACTTGCCTATTTTCTGTCCAGACCTGGAATGAGCTATTTCTCCAAGAAGTTCTGATATTTTCTTTAAAGAACTGTAGTCGTTGTTTTCCTTATATAATTCAGAATATATATGGCACATTTAAGCAAACTAAAATATTAATATGCTAATAAATTCATGGCTCCCACTTTATTAAAGATGTCTCAAAGCACCCAAACCAGGAGCAATGTTCAAATTATGAAACAGTTAAAATATATCTTGGTGGTATTAAAACATCCTGGAAAGTGCTAATAGCTATTGTGAAGACATCAGAGGGCAGTGTTTCATTAAACAGCTAATCAGATATTTGGAATAGATCTGAATTCTCAAAGTAACAAAGGTAGTCTAGAAAGGGGTAGGTTACAGATTCAGGATTATTTACCTACCTACCTTGACAGGGTTTAAGTTAGATTGTAGAGGTCTATACCACACCACACCCAGATATTACGATTGCTTTCCTGGGGAGCTCTCATTATTATTGTTATTATTATTATTATTGGGATGGAGTCTCACTCTGTTCCCCAGGCTAGAGCACAGTGGCACAAACTCAGCTCACTGCAGCCTCCACCTCCTGGGTTCTAGTGATTTTCCTACCTCAGCCTCTTGAGTAGCTGGGATTATAGGCATGCACCACCACGCCAGCTAATTTTTTTGTATTTTTAGTAGAGACAAGGTTTCGCCATATTGTCCAGGCTGGTCTTGAACTCCTGACCTCAAGTGATCCTCCCACCTTGGCTTCTCAAAGTGCTAGATTACAGGCATGAGCCACCACGCCAGGCAGAAGCTCTTATCATTTTATGGTTATATTATTTGTTTGTTTCTTTGATAATAGAGACAAGTCTTTATGGTGCTGTAGGTTTCAGTTAGACCTTTGTAATGTCCCTTGGCTATTCCTACCACCAGCATATGTGGTGGGATTTACAATCTCTACATAAGAGATTTTGAAATGGAATCTTTCAGTGAGAGCAACAGTTACAAAACCCAGTCATAACTTCTTAGCCAACAGGTGACATCAATATTTCAAATTAAAATATAGGCAGCAGGAGTCATCTCTGAGGTTAGGGAAGGTTCCTACTTTTACTCTCCCTTCTACGTCCAGCTCAGAGCTCTCAGCTGGAGTTTTACCATTCTTCATAGGAAGTTAGCAATTTGTCACAATCCTAATGTTTACTTAAGTAAAAATTTTAATGATTCCACTGATGTGGTTTTCTTATAGATGCCCAAGGCCTTATGTTTTCAAATGCATTCTTCCAGGTATAACTTGCAAAACTGAGCCTTTGCAAAGTAGAGCCAGATGTTGAAATATCGCTTAGATATGCATATGGTCATTTAATCTAAACAGACCAGGCTCTTTTCAAGGACAACTTGAAATATACCACATAAGTATATGGTGATTTCCATTTGTTAGAATTACTAATTGAAGAAAAACATGTACAAGTGAAAGTTATTCCTGATCACTAATGCTAGAGTTTGATGCAAGTTAGAGAACTGTAAGTACTGCAGATAATACACAAATTACAGGTACAAAACCTATTTCCCTAAGTCTTGTTTCAAAAATAGATGAAATGCCCCAATTTTTAAATGCTCCTCTCAGTTAGTTCAAGCCTGGGATACTGTAGATGCTTATGGTGCCTTAGGGGTCTGAGTAAGTATGAAACATGGGGCCTCTGGCTGGTGGATGCAGTGGAATAATGACCAGAGACAGAGAGCTATGGAGAGGCCAGCTCTTAATGAAGGAAAGCAGAATGAGATATATTATCAATCCCAAATGAGTCATAGGGAGGAGTCAAATTGTAAAGCTGAATATATTAGTAACTGAAGGAAGTTAATGCTTGATGAGGTTTGAGGAGAGCAGAAAGAAGTTGGAACTTGCGGGGAGTCCAGGATCCAGAGTTTCAGTACTCATCATTGTATTTTATGTGATGTTCAGGCCCTGAGACTGGATGTGCTGAGAGCAATTAAAAGATTGGAGGCAAAGCAGACATAACCCTGAGACAGTGGTACACTAAAAAGAATAGGATATGATTTTATTGTGTCCGTTGATGAAATCTTTCAAGATGATAACCTAAGAATGGCTGAAATGTATGAATTTAGTAAATATAGTGGTTGCCTAGCCCTATGTAATTAGCATGGAGCTAAAGCATCAGAGCCCACTGGTTGATAGAGCAGGCTGAACGTCAGCTCCTTCATCGGTAGCTGTGCTTCTCTGGGGAAAATGGTTAACCTCTCTGTGCTTTTATTGTCCTCATCTGTAAAAATGGGGATAGG